AGTAACTTGCCTCCCCGGTTTCCTTCACTGGCATTTTATGCCACTGAAGATGCGACGGAGGGAAATATTATAATATAAGTGAGGAAGGAGAAGATTAAGCTTCCAAATGAGTAATTCTTGGGTTTATGAAGCATCAAGCCGTGTGCCACATTGGAGGTACGTGGCAACACTGAATGAGACTTTCACATCGGATGCATCTGCAGTTCTTTCTTCATGTTTGCTTTCCATGATGGCAAATTGATTTCTGGGTCACAGCAGGAAAGAAGAAGATATGAGGAAGCATAAGTTAGTGCCAAACATCCACACTGCAAATATTCCCTCAAGAGGAAGACTTTCACACAGAGAGGTGGAGCTCTTCTTCCACCTGCTGGTTACTGATGGGACAACAACTACAGGTGTGCTTTCATAACAGGAGTTAACCGTGGATGTTCTGGAAACTGCCCTATGCACATGATCTGTGACTTACACGTGGGTGTAATAATCAAACCAGAGCTCATTTCAGGTCATAAGTGATACTTTTTTTTTTTTTTTTTTTTACATTTCTTTTGTAGGAAACCACTCATCCATGCATTCGGTCACATGCCAAAAGTATAGCAAATATAGTAAATAATGAATATTTAGTAAATATTTAGTCCTGGCTGCTTGTTGTTTTAAAGCAATATAGATAAGGTGAAGGCATGGCCTAAGGGAAGCAGTTTAACACTTTAAAAAGATAAAAAGATAACACAGTTTGATTATTTCAGTGAAAGTGCAGCTGTCAAGAATCCATTCATAAGGAAGGGAAACATGGAGAAAAGGCTCAGCTATGCAAAATTAGATAAGAACTGGAAAAAAAAAAAAATCAGCGTCAGCATGTGTGAGTGAGTGATGAATCTAAATATAATATTTTTCGTTCAAATCTTCATCAGTATGTACAGCAGTGAGTGTATACAGCCATCTGTAAAACTTGGTGTAGTAGGCTCTGACATGAGGCTGCACTGGTCTCCCCTGAGCCCAGACCTCAACATCGTGGGATCATGCTGACAGAGAACACAGCAAAAAGGCAAAAACATCCAAAGAAGAGCTTTAAGAGTCCTTCAAGAAGCCGGGAGGACTAATCCTGAAGACTACTTAAAGACATTACAAGAAAGCTGCCTAAGAGAGTTCAGGGTGTGTTGAAGAATAAAGGTGGTCCTAACGCCACCTCCATTCTAGCATTTACAGGTGTGTGAAATATCTAGAGCTAGCATATGTTAGCGTACATTTAAAACACAATGCCTACGTTGAACTCAAGACAAAAGAAGACAAGCAACTATGTTGTTGTTTTTTTTAAGTGTTCATGTTTGGGTATTACCTGGCTACATCCTGAGCATTATTGGTCCTTGCTGCTTCCAAAAGAGCATCATCTGGTTATTGAAAAAGCAGAGAGAAAACATTAACTACACTAAAGATTTTACTAAATAAAACAAGCTGGGTTTAAAACTAACTCTACAGACCAGTTTATATCATATAACATCGTTCCATCAGTATTTACTATATTATAAAAACAATTAATGAACGGCCGGTCTCTAATCAGTGTCAGCTGATTATAATTTATTATAAGCTTACCTTTGTTATCGGGGTCTTTCTTCAGACAGAAGGCCACGGCCGCAGCAGAGAGGACACCGGCAGAGGCTACTCCTGCCCGCATGGGTCCTCCACCTGTTCCCCTGTCTCCGCCGCTTTCCTCCCAGTACTGGTTGTTGTTACGACCTCTGCTGGCCAGAGCCGCCCAGGAACTGCGGCGATTCTCCAGGTTGGACAGCCATCTAGGGGCGAGGTGGTGGTACTGCATCGATGGTTTCACGCTGTTTCCAGCAGTCTCCTCAGCCAAAATCCCCCTCCTGGAGACCCTGGAAGTGGACACGATGGGGTTGCGCTTGGCCTCCGCCGGAGTCTCGCGGATGCCCTGGCACGCGCCACCGCTGGCGCTGGTCTGAAGCACGCGACTGCACGGTGACAGGCTGCGCGACCTTCGCGCAAATAGCCTGGTGGGAACCGATGATAGCATAGCAATTGACTCACCGAAAACCAAGCCGGTCTGGCTTATGGCGTCAGTCCAGGGGTGACTCCGGAGGACAACAAACTAGGGGCAGCGCCTTAACTCAGGTGTAACAGTGGTTAGAGCTCAGGTCAGGGGACCAAGTTCGTAACATCGGGACGTAAATAACCGTTTCAGCTCGTCGTGGCGTGGATGTCACTAGAAGCCGCGGCGCATTCTGGGAAATGTCGTTTACTTGAACGTCATTGATTATGACGTAGTATGCATCAGTTGGTGTACGTTTGCTTTAAAACATGGGTGTTGTAACAGTCAGGGAGACTTTTAAATAGTAAATGGCCTGTATTTGTATAGCGCTGTACTTAGTCCCTAAGGACCACAAAACGCTTTACACTACATTCAGTCATCCACCCATTCACACACACATTCACACACACTGGTGATGGCAGCTACATTGTAGCCACAGCTGCCCTGGGGCGCACTGACAGAGGCGAGGCTTTTAAAAGGGTTTCCATGGCACAACATTAACACGAAACTATAAAAATTAGCATCGGAGCTGTCTCGGCTTTATTTTTTTTTTTTTTATAAACTTGCCTCAAAAAGCTATCCGTCCTGATTAACACCTAGAGCAGCGGTCCCCAACCTTTTTTGCGCCACGGACTGGGCCTTTAAGGTTACATGGATAAATACAACAAAATAAAATGCTACGATCAAGACAAAAACTGGTATTTTGTAAAAAATAAATAAATAAATAATGATGAACGCGAATTCACTGTGTGATTGTGTACCTTTATTAGCAGCATCCTCCTGAAAATGCGCCAACAACATTGAGAGTAATATCCTCCTCGCTGCCACTTAATGCTCTCTGGTCTCTATGGTAAGGCGTAAACGTAGTATGCATCAGTAGTATGCAACGTTTCTTTCAAAAAACGACACACAATTAAAAAGACCCAGGGAAACCGAGTTAATGATAGAAACCCTGAAAACCATAAACTTCACACGTGGGTCTCAACGGGCCCGGTACCGGTCCGAGGCTTGGGGACCGATGGAATACACGAAGGACTGGGTAAAGAAGAAAACTGTGGCTAAGGGGCAGCTGTTGCTAGCTAAATCCATTTTCCCACAGCTTTTTCAGTCACAGTGTTGTGATTTTTTCCCCCTAACCCATGCTAGAATTGTTTTTCCAAGGCTGCGACAGAGAAATATGTGAAATGCTTGCAATAACAGGCCCTTTTTTCTTTCTCCAACACCAAATCCTGAGAAACATTTGCAACTATATGGCACTAAGTGTCCTGCACTTAAACGTTCATTTAATATCACGTACACATATACACATACTGTCCCTCAAGAAGACACTGAAAAAAAATAAAGAATAACATTGAGACTGTAACTTTGCCATAAGTCATTGTTGATTTTGTCTTCACTCTCCATCCCCTGCCAAGCTGCACCTGTGATTCTGCGGCTGCTCGCTGATGAGCTGACAGATACGATCTTTTCTTATCCTCTGTATCCTTACCCTATCACCTCTGCCTCCCACAGGGCGCCAGCCTGCCCTGTTGAAACACTATTTCTTTTCAGTCAGGTATTGTGGCTATTAAAGTCAACAAGAGCGACCCTGATATTCTGCAACAGGCAAAACTGGAAATTTTCATCCTGGAGCAGCTGCGAAGGTTGGATCCAGATGCCGCCAACATTGTTGGCGGAGATCGTGGCTCAAGAGTTGGGAGTTCGCCTTGTAATCGGAAGGTTGCCGGTTCGAGCCCCGGCTCGGACAGTCTCGGTCGTTGTGTCCTTGGGCAAGACACTTCACCTGTTGCCTACTGGTGGTGGTCAGAGGGCCCGGTGGCGCCAGTGTCCGGCAGCCTCGCCTCTGTCAGTGCGCCCCAGGGTGGCTGTGGCTACAATGTAGCTTGCCATCACCAGTGTGTGAATGGGTGGATGACTGGATATGTAAAGCGCTTTGGGGTCCTTAGGGACTAGTAAAGCGCTATATAAATACAGGCCATTTACCATTTACCATTTGTTAAATGGAACGGCTTTTTCCTTGACAGGTTTGCCTGAAATTTGAACTCCTAGATCAATGCCTGTGGGACTACATAGGGGACCCGAATAACCGGTGTCTCCCCATAAGCGAAGTCAGGCCAATTTTAGGTCAACTCACAAATGCTCTGTCCCACCTGGGTTCTTTGGGAATAGTGCACGCTGACCTCAAACCTGGAAACATCATGGTTGTAAATCGCTATGAGTCTCCAGTCAAAGTCAGACTTATAGACTTTGGCCTCGCATGTCCTGCGTCTGCAGTGATGCCTGGTGACCGTGTGGGGACGGTTGGTTATAGTGCACCTGAAGTTATGCTTGGCCTTCCTTATAATGAAGCATGTGACATGTGGTCTCTGGGGCTGGTGGCTGTGGAGCTCGGTACAGGCGTGCCACTCTACCCTGGAAAAAAATATTATGATGATGTTTTGAAATTCATCATAGAGACTCAGGGTCAGCCACCAGATCATGTTCTCGATCCTGGCGTGTACACTGAAGACTATTTCACAAAAGACAACTACAACTACAACCAACAGCGCTGGACATTTAAGACCGCCCAACAATTTAAATATGAGACAGGATATGAATCTTTGGAGACAAGATACATAAAACTTAAACGTCTGGATGACCTCGAACAAATAATGATGTTTAGACGAGGACCCGAAGATGGCCAACGCTTATTTGTCAGCCTAATTAAAGAGATGTTGGCCTTGGATGCACACCAGCGGATAACACCCTCTCAGGTTCTAACGGCATCCCTTTTTCAGCCCTGGCCTCTCCAACAGGTTCCCAAGTATCAACATTGAAAGACCATACAGAGTCAATCTCCAGCATGGCATCTTCCACCCTGGACCAAAGTGATAAAAACACAAACTGGGGTTGGAAAAGGATATTAACAGCAAATTACACTGGAAATATTAGTTAAGCTGCTCCAATAATTATCACTTTGGCTTTTTTTTTATTTTTATTTTTATTTATTTTTAATTTTCACTCCCCCCACCCCAACCAGTCGCGGCAGAGAGCTGTCCCTTCCTGAGCCTGGTTCTGTCGAAGGTTTCTTCCTTTTTAAAGGGAGTTTTTCCTTCCCACTGTCGCTAAATGCTTGCTCATAGGGAATCTTCTGATTGCTGGGGTGGCCAAAACTCTGGGGGAACTAGCAATTCTTGTGAAAATTTAAAAAAAGAAAAGCCTACCAATATTCAAAGCAGAGCAGCGGACACCTTACCATCACATCAGTCCTTTAATCCGACCTAAAACACCATGTTTACAGAAATAAATTCCATACAAATTGGAAATAAATTGTTATAAATATATAGTGCTACCCTTCAGCCTCCTAGTAGACATACCTGTGTTATAAATGTGAAATGCCTCCAATTTTCAGAAAAGTTGACCTCTGACCTTGAAGTCAAGGTCACTGAGATTTAAGCTTCACAGAGATTTTCAGTAGATGCAACCATGGTATTGATTTGAAAAATCTACACAATCACAAACTTGGATGTCCAC